GATGGTGAATTTCTACACAACACATTATTACAATAACAAACCGCAATAGCAACTTGTCCTTGACCATGTTGCTCGGTACAACCGCACCGATACCGCTGAACTTTAAGTTTGCGAGTGTGTGGCTTTGCTGTAACGAAAGTAGATAGATGATCACTAGACTGACTGATATTGTCCTTGGTCAGCCATGCGTCGACCAATGACCGGGGACAGGTGAACATGTTCAAACGTGCATTTTGATTAAGAGGTTGAAACACGATACACATTGTCCGTTGAAGTGACTTGCCAAATGATCAGCTCAACAGTAGTCGGTCATGCTTACTCTCAGCTGCACGACGGCAGTCGGTGAACACACCTTGGAAGGTCACCCAGCGTGGATCACACTAAAACTTGAATGTGAGCTGACTTGTTTACAGGGTACAGTAGACCGCGCGAAAAAATGGGGTCGTGTACAGGACATCAGATCAGCAAATTGCAGGCATCAGGATAAAAAGACATCAGTAGGACAACTTCCACCGGACAACAATCCCTCTGTTAACCGACGCTCATCAATGAAATAGGAAATGCAAGTCCACCATATACTACCCATTAATTCCGAGGTGCACGTTAAAACTTGGCGATTCCTTGATTTAATCCATGATGTATGGACAATGCGTCAAGTGACCAGTGTGTTTGAGGTTTACTTTATTGGGACTTACAATTAACCGGCTTTCTAACACACAAGGCATTCAGTAGTGGTTGTCACTTAGTCGCCGGAACAACACACCGAGTTTGAACTGGACTGCCGTGTCCTACTTGGGACAGGCAAATACTATTCACCTTAATTTTGACGGGTAAATGACCTGGAATCCGGCTGAATCTCTTGAGAAACTCAATTTGCTGCACTAGGCTGTCTAATGTTTCAGTTAGTACGGTATCTGAGATATCGCAATACATACTATAGAGCTTTCAGCAACCTTTGAGTAGTGTATTACGTCCATACTATTCACATGTTCGTTCGATTCGTTATATACCGAAAAGAGTGACGTTGAACGAGAAGTTAAATATCTTGGTAGGATCCGTGATTGTCGCATACACGAGTTTTGAGAACAGTTTGTAGGTACACTGAAAGCGTTCGATATAGAATCAAGACTGGTCGTTACTACCGCAAATATCTCAAACTGTTCCACGTATAATTTTTCAGAACTCAAGTGTGTACACTGATGCCGACACAGTTTTTCTGGAGAAGTGCTCCAGTGACGCAGCAGAGCGTCATTCTGTTTGGACTGTTTATGCGTGAAAAGGCTGGATGAAACCGCTTGTCAAAGGGAGTTTGTTTCCACTCGCCACCAAACTAGACATTGGTCGACTTGAGAAGGTGGCTTATGATTGACTGTTTATTGGCCATGAATCTACCATGAAGACTCTGACGGTTCTCTTGAAGGGGTACTCGAACAACACAAATTTATTGATGCCTGTCAGAAGTTTGACCCTCAACTATCTGACAGCCTTGTACACCTGAATATTAACACTAAAACGCCCGACGTCACGAAACAAGAGATAATCTTTGTAATCAAAAAAGAAAATGAAACTGAACATTTGTTATCAAGCAAAGAACCGAGGGATTGTAGAAGAGATGTTCTGTTGACGTATTGGTATGAAGTAGCCAGCTCCTTCGCAAAAGAGTGGCGCGCTAACCCAAATGGAACAAATAGATGGAGGATATAATTATTGCTACATTGGAAGGGATAAGTACAGCTCGGGATTCTTACAGCGAATCAAGTGACTACAATTACTTTGAATCGCTACGAACATGGAGTGGACTATTGTCCGTACGCCTAAACATCAACATACGAGCCATTTACATTTTATTGAAGTAATGCACTACTCATAAGGCTGCTCCGAAAAACAGACACTTCGAAACTGAAACTTGAGGCGGCCTTTATTCAGTTTGTTTGACCTGTACTCTTCTGTTGAAGGATAACACAAACGAGTGATTCAGTTGGGTCTCCCGTAAACACCTGTTGGTACTTTAGTTATGTGTACCTAAACTTGAATTAATCTCACATGACCTTTGGTAGATTTTGATACAGAATTTTGTGTGTGAAATTTCAGAGTATTGTTCGTGTTTTATTAATAGTTTCTCAGCCCACTGGTGCCAACGGTTTTCGGAAAATATTCAGGAAATTGCGATTCCCTCTACGTGGCAATCATCTCCGTGAATAGTCAACCAATAACTGACTTCATTGCTTGTAACTGTTTTTACCATCACCCCACCCATGTGATGATCAGCAAATCAACTAGACTTATACTGGGGGTAGGCACCTTGAGGGGGAGTACCCATATTTCAATTTTTCTGCAATCAGACTGTGGGAAACACCGAGAGTTCCTACGTTGGTCTCATCAATCTACCTTTATGGGGTCGGGTCGAGACTACAATGACCGCGAAGTGTAAGACAAGAAATCCGGTTAAGTGGACGGATATGAATACTTTGTAATGTACTACTCACACGGTTGCTGATAATCCGTCGATAGCCCACGACCGGTTTCGCCCTTTTTGGGGCTTATCAGGTAGGCACAGTCCCCAGATCTCCGTCAATCTTATGTTCTACTTGAAACTAAATTGCACGAAATTAGCGAATATACACTCATTTGCAAACAAAATTTGGTTTCGCGAGAGACTCACCTGGAACCCGGCTGAATCTCTCGTTTGTGATGTTCTCAAGATATGAATACTGTTCCAAGTACTGGTGGACTGATAAGCACGATACAATCCTGATGGTTTCACCCATCGATGTAGGCTTGCCATTTTCACGCAATTATGTGTTTAATGAGGGCTGGATTTGATCGTGATTTCAGTCCTGATGGAGCAATCCTACACGGGCTTGGCAAGAGTTCTTAAGCGGTTTATTCTAGATGGAGCATTACTGATTTTTTCAAAGAATTCTTAGCAGGAGTAAATTCACGGAAAAAAAAACCGCGTCCATCACTTTGAGGCAAGCCAACTCATGGCAATGTGGGTAACAACTTCACTGAGAGAAAAAGATCACCAAACACAAACTCCAATTTTCAGCACCGGTCACGATAAGGATGCTTCGCTTTCGGGACGTGGCAACGGTACGCCAATTTGTGGAGCAGGATGATTCCACAAGTCGGGACGGTCAAGAAATGTATCGGTTAACAAATCCTAAATAGCCTTTTTTGGACAGGCTGAAATGGTTGAAACATTTCAATCAGCTGAGTAAACAACTGATCGACAAGATGGTAACAGTCGGGCTTGAATGCGTAACCTGTTCGCGACAAAGGTGAACTGGGACAGAATGGGTTCCCCCTTGTTAGTATCAATTCGGGCCTTGAATAGTGTGATTGAACCGGTATCCGGGCGAAGGACAACAGCGGTTTCCTGTATTGAACAAACAGAACGCACATGAGGTGACCGCTGATGGCCTTCGTTGGGCGATAGCCAGAACTAACGTCTCGTTCACTCGCTTCATATCACACGCACACGCTTTGTTGCGTATCGTTATGTTTTGTATCCTGTCCGTGATTGAATTTCAACCGTTAAAGTCATGAGACAGACTTCGGTATGGACCGAATTGTGAAACCTTGCCATCTGCCAGAACTGCTACGGAAACTCGGGGGGAGTATCCGTTCGTCTGGCGCAGCCACCACCTACAGGTCACTAAGACACGTTTTCTGGAAGGCGCAGGTTTGCATGTTGGAGTGTTCAAATATTTCACCGGTTGCACATACCCGTCGGTCTGTTGTGGAGTTACGGTGACCGCTGGCTCAAACAGTAGTAGATAGATGGTTTATCCTGGCTAATTTCTTTCCGTTATAAGAGCTTGATATGGAGATCTCAGTTGGGTCTATCACTTGTTGGGGTGCCGACAGAAGCCAGACTGGTTTTGACCATTCTGCCTTTGTCGGTAGTATGAGCAGATTGGGTAATTATTCAACCGAGATTTCTTCTCGTAACTGAAGCCAACTTATGCTGAAAAGCCGAGAACCCTGCACAACTGTGTACCTTATTGGGAATCATCAGCATCTCACGAAACCACAGGGAGTCTGGAATCCGCGACCTACTGGCTAGTAGTCTGAACAAAGTCTGTTATCCGCCACGAGCTGCTGATTAACAGTGTCATTAGAATGCCATTCATCTTTGTACTGTACTATTCATAAGGTTGCTGAAAATCTGTCGACAGCCCACGACCGGTTTCGCCCTTTTTGGGGCTCATCAGGTAGGCGCAGTTCCCGGATTTTCAGCAACCTTATGAGTAGTACACTACAAAGATATACATGTATCGCAATATCTCGAATATCGTAGCGAATGAAACATGAGGCGACCTGGTGCAGCACATTCAGGTGCCTGAGAATATCATAAACGAGAGATTCAGCTGCGTTCCAGGTGAGTCTCTCGAAAAAACCAAATTAGTTCGCCATTCACCTTTCATTACCAAAATTCAACTCACTCATTCACATACAGACTGGTGACTTGCAGATGGAACTCTCGTTCATCTTGCGAAATCATTCTTTCGAGCTTCCTATAGACTGTTTGTTAAAAGCTAGTGCCAAGTAATTCTCCGAACAACGCGAAAGCTTTAAACCAAATTCCGGAGGACGTCTGACGAACACAATTCTGAGACTTCCACAGGGAAAAATCCCAATGTTTCTCTCAAACAACAGGAATATCATTGCGCACATCACAGTAGTGGTTCCATCGAAATCACGTGATTTACTCGAACAAACCCTAGGTGATAGTGATGGTGTTTGTATCAAGGAAGTTCACTTTCAGCTGATTTAACACAACCCTACCAAACGAATTATGTACTTCTATGTAGGCTTGCATCAAAGTTTTTGACTGCCAGATCTGTGTTCAAAAAGGCTATCAATCATATACCTCTCTATTCCTGCCAGCTGTACAACTCAACGATACAACTACTCCAAAGGAGCTGACCAATAGCGGTATGGCAATAACCTGCCCAATCGACCTATCGACCAATGGCACAGCACCCGTTCAGAAGATGGAACACCTTCCCACAATACCAGGCACTGTCACTGGCAACGCTGCCGATTTCGGTGGTATGGGTCAACGACTGGTGGTGGAAAAGCCAAAGTTTGTGTTAGGTGAGTTGTCTTCAGGATAAACTGAGATACCTTTTTCAACTGAACGGCCAAATCCGAAATGGGAAATTGGCATGGGTTGTGCCTGAAATCTTCAATCGGACGAATGGCATTAACTGCACTGCTTTTTTCTGTGATTCTACTGCTATGCAAGACAGCTAATCACACTATTGCTAAAACATTTGAACTTGGTATCCCAGGTAGCAATAACGACAAACAAGTTCAAATTTCGGATTACATTTACGCAGTTTTTACGAATAGGGGCCACAGCAGATGTTGCTCACCTCTAACGACATTCAGCATGTAATAAGCAGCACAAACATCCGTCAAGGTCAATGGAGAGTGTACAGAGCTTAGGGGAGACGAAATTCCCGAGTCATGGGGCTTATTTACCCTGAATCCAGTGATGTTCATCGAAGGAACACTGAAAAAACATCTCTATTACAGACCACAAATTCTAATTGCTAACCCATTAGACGAACAACCACCTACTACTTGCGTTGCCTTGGTAGTTTTTGTTGCCTAAAGGCTATTTCTGAGGAAAAAACCTGACGTTTGGATTCGTACTGAAAGCTGTATCCCAATCTCTTTCTACCAGGTGCGTTCTCAATTAATTGCAAGGTTGTCACATTTACAAACGATAGAGACAGAAATAGTGTGATTTATGGATCAACATGAACAAATCTCTCGCGAAAAGAATAGATTTCGTACAATTTCCTGCAAAACGGAATCAACTGCAACGGAGCTGCTTGCATCGATTGTATGAAACTGAATGTAACCACGGCTATCCCAGAGTAGCTTTCAGGTCCTTCTTTACCAATCTATATTGCTTCAAGAAGATTCAGTCCATGTGGCCAGTCGCTTCTTCCTATGACCTTGAATGGAGGCAAAGTTTAACTCTGTATCGTGTCTTGAAAACGTGTTTGGTGATCAATGACTCACCGGAGGTTAAATCGGAGTCAGGCAGGATTGCATGGCGTCGTTTCGGCAGTCTTTGCTCAGATCTAGCCTACCGAACGAAAATCATGAACAAGTTTCGCATTCCTTAGATATCTTTGACATTTGTTATACGGATTGATATCTACTATAATACGGCAGCCAATCGAAGCAACCTTTTTAAACTCTGTTTAGGAAGTATCTATCTATCATCTAGTTCGACTTGAACACGCTGATGTCTCAAACAACGCGTTTAACTTTCCTCTCACGGGGACAGGAGTCATCGGGTGACTACTCAGAGATTTACCTATGCCTGATTAACCTCCCCTTTCTCAAGAACTCCACTTTATTGTGTACCAAGACCATCGTATTTCATTTACAAAGCAGCGGTTGTAAGAAACTTGATGGTACTGCCAGGGATAGACTTTTGGTATCGACTCGGTCAGGTGTATTACGGTAAAACTGGAGCAATCAGTGGAAAGTGACGTTCGCCAATAATCGTTGTATGAATTACATTTAGATGACACTGTGTTCATGATAAAGGATGCACAACCGGTTGGGAAGTTACCCTTGGTCTCCAGCAAAACATCACTGTTACTTGTAAGTCTGAACTAGATAACGAATGTTTTGGTCACACCAAACACCAACAGCAGTATGCCTCGCTCCGTCTGTAGAAAGCCTACCTGGAGCAGAGGGGGTTCGAACTTTACAAGCCTTTGCCCAATGCAGTTGCTTTGTTTCAGCTGGGAAATCGTTCAACTGTAGCTCCCTAGCTGCCATGCCACCGAAGGTTGCGGCATACTGCCAGGTTGCCCAGGCCTAGACAAGGGAAGTTGGGGAGGCAGATGTCGGGTTCGAACCACGAACCTTACGATCAGCAAAAGTTCGCGCTCTAACCACTTGGGCCATCTCAACCGGAAAAACACAGCACAATGATGATTTGCACTTCAGATAAAGTCGCTGGAAAGACTGGATCACTTAAAAGTATGTTGCAGTCAGACAACTTACCTGATCACTTCAGTGAAAAACACCTCAGAGCAGAAACGCAAATTACCGTCTTCGGCTAACCTAAACAAAACTGAAACGTGGCCCTGCACCGCACGTGTACTGCAGCACAGTTGAATGAAAAGGGATGAACGAAGACGATGCCAACAATCAGCCATTGCGTCTACTGTTGCGTCACCTGGGGTCGCGGTGATACACACACTGGTAGAACGGACTGGAAATTCGAGCAAAGCAGGACCTGATAAGACTGTTTCGTTCAATCCTAGCTGACAAACTGTCAGTGAGTCAAAAACCCAATCATCGATTGTCAGAAACATGAACAAGACAACATACGGAGTTGAACACTGCTCCTTATTCAAGGTCACCGGATGAAACGGTCGACCATATGGATTAAAGTTGTTTAAATCAGTGTAGATTATAGATTCTCGTCTGTATTCCCTAAAAAATCGGGCTATCCGAAGAACCAACCCAGTGTTTTTACTGATCGTTCACACCATGTTTCACTTCCATATAAACGATGTTACTAGCCCCATCATTTGTTGCATTTTATTCCGTTTTGCATATATTACGGAAGACAAGATTCTGCGAAAGGTGTTCATGCCTCGACGATGTCGTGCATCCTAAGTTGTTCAAGATAGACAGTCGTAAACGAATGTGTACACAAGAGTGGCGGTAAACAATCGGTTTCCAACCTCACTTTGTCAGCGGTGTCATTTGTTTTTCCCAATGTCCATCGTAGTCCGACTGAACATCAAAGTGCTACACGTAGGGAATTTCAGTTCGGCCGATTGGATCAGGGCGTTCACTATAATTTTGAAAAGTCCGGGCACGATCTTTATATGGAGGCCTTCAAAGTGACTGATGACCCCTGTCCTGATCGTCTGCTGTTTCAACGATAAGACAAAATCCTGATAGTCCACACCAGATGACGAAAGTGACCATTGGCTTAAGTCAATCATCCACAAGTCTTTAAGGGCATAGGGAATTCCGTAGTTCGAATTTGTTAAGGATTTCTGTAACAAATAAAACTTAGTCGTAATGCACTACTCATAAGGTTGCTGAAAATTCGTCGACAACTCACCACCAGTTTCACTCTTCTTGGGGCTCATCAGGTAGGCGCAGTCCTCGAGTTTCCGTCAACGTCATGTTCTACTTGGACCCAAATTTCGCGAACTTAGTGAAATACACTCATTTGCAACCAATTTGGTTCTGCGAGAGACTCACGTGGAACCCACATGATTCCATCGTTTATGATGGGGTGGCCTGGTGCAGCACATTCAGTTGCTTTAGAACATCATAAACGAGAGATTCAGCTGGGCGTTAGGTAGTCCCGCAAAACCAAAGTGGTTTGCAAATGAGTACATGTCGAAACTTAGTCTCTTTGGTCATTTCACTTTTAGGCAGGATGTGGCTGGAACGTCATAAGATGCTGAAAAAAGACATGTCCGATGACGGCGCACCTATAAGAGTAATGTTTTTTGAAACTCCAAGGGTATCTGTTCTAGCAGAATTTCCAGCGCATTGGAACGAACTAAAGATGAAAACAGGGTGGAAATCAGCCTCAAACCGCGAAAGTAGGTCGTTCAAACTTCAGGCTGTGAGCACATCCTTCGTTTCTGTTTGCAATCAAAGAAGCAGCTTCATCCCTTCTATAGCTCATGGGAAGTGTGAATCTTGTGCAAGGTTCCCCTGGAAGCCTCTCACTTACTTGCCTCATGATGCTACTGGTCATTTGTAAGTAGTGGATTGTTTGAAATCTCATCTTCAGCAAAAAGTAGAATAAAATCATTGGGGAATGGTTAATGTTTCGGAGCTAAAGCTGCTTGATCTAGCTAAACCCATTCACCAAACTAATGGCCATAAAGTTCGTGAGAACAATTTGCCAACCTCGAAGATGCGCTCACGCAAATTTGTCCATTTACACTGTCGCCATTCTGATAGGTCTTCGCAGCCGTGGGAAAAAACCTTGCACGTTTTCCCGTTGCAGGTGGCGCTTGTTTGAACCAACTATTCTCTTTTACGGCGTCTACGACAAATTGATGGGAGGAAATGAGCTACCGTACATCTAGGTATTTATTTTCAACGGCTCAGTTAGTCCGTAAAACGAGCAGTTCAATTATCACGGTCACTTCTACCCAAAGGGCTTATCACCAGTCCAGGTGCTCGGAGCGCGCAAAAATTCGACCACCTACATGGTTTTCACACCCCCTCTACACCAGAGGGATGGGTGCGAACTTTGATTTTCGGTCGGCGGTTTTTCCGCACCGTCCAGCCAGAGATCAAAGCGCATAGTTGCTTTGGGGTGGGCAAAACTAAGCTGTCGCCGGTAGTTTAGAACAATTGTGGGTTGTGTGTGCGTTGATATGTGGCGGTTGATGTTGAAAGCGCTACCCGAAGACAAACTCGGTGGGTTAGGAAAGCACTGCCTCGCTATTTGGGCGATGTTCTAAGCAAGGGTCATTCTTCTGCCGTCTGTCCTCTTTTGTGTTTGTCTGGTGAGCGAGAGTGCATCAGATAGTAAAGTTTGTACACATACACGGACCATCAAAGCGCCGCAGGGACAAAAAAGTCGATCAGTATTCATAATGAAGGCAAAAAACACGTGAAAACATTGTAGTTGTTCGGGAGATTTCCAAAATCTGATCACCCTTGGAACAATACGTGTGTGTGTATGTGTGTGTTTAGTGCTACCAGTGGCCGAATAACCCACTGATTGGATCGCCGTCCAAGATAATGGCTGGTAATAGTGAGTTTTATACAATGGTCTGTAATTTATTGGCTTTTGCGAAAAAGTAACCGCGTCTAATTCAGACAAAGCCTGAAAAAAGCCAGTTCAGTTCACTGAAGAGAGAAAGACTTAATTTTGAGTGGTTCCTGTTCTTGAAACATCTGGTCCCAGTGGTCCATCACCTTCGGTGCGATGGCTTTATTCGAAGGGCTACGAATAAACTATGCCCGAATTCGACTGGACGATTCACAACACAATGAATTATTTTTGGAACAAACCAAGACCACAACGTACTTTGAAGTGTGCACAAATTTCGGGGTATATGGTTGCAAGTTTGCAATGGGTGAACTTCTCTAGTGCCTCTTGTGAAGGGTAACCGGCCTAACCACTAAGTGAAACATTGATCAGATCAGTGGGAACGGTAATGTTGAGCTGCATCCATCGCGTTGTACAGTTGGCGTAGGAAAAAACCCCTTCGTGCTTAAAACATACAGTGACAGAACAATCCAAGGCAAGGGAATTCGACAACAGGTACGAAATTGAAAACGCATTCAATTACGGGGAGCGGACTACCCAACCTATGCATTTGGATTCCACAAGCTAGATATACTACTTACTAGACTTGCTTTGAATTACGATTTCTAGGCTAGCTTTTCCTGCGGTTTATCCGGAAACGAGGTCAAAGTTCAATCCACTCCCTAAGTCTGTATGGTGAAACAGCTGCGAGAACTTACCCCAATAGAAGTGTCCAAGTATGATGAATGTTTCAGACCAAAAAGGTCATACTGCCTGCTAAGTTTACGACCCACTATGAATTGAGCTTCGAAGGGAAATCGTTAGAAAAATAAATTAATGGTTAAACAGTTCTTAATGCCGGATATTCATGTACCTGAACACTAAGTAAAGTAATCGTCCTAAGTGGACCTTTTTTCGCTTTGTTCACACCAAGTACGCGCTTTTCAGATACTTAGTTTCGGATCCTGAAACTACTTAATGCCCGAGGCTTCACTTCGGTCATTTTCACCCAAGTTTCCTTCGCCACCTTTTCCAGATCCTGATGTACAACTTCGATGTGCGTTGTGTCACCGACAAGAATCGACCGCATGGCAATTCCTCATTCATCTGGGCGCGGCACATGCTATCGATTTATTCCGCCTGGAATCAATGAAACCAACTCCTCATTTGTCAAGCAGTATGACTCTCTCCAGTGCATCCCAAATCCCAGGTGAATTTCAGAACCCACGACAATCCCCATATACGGATAGTGAACTGTTGCTAACCAAGAGTGCGAGTGGAAGTCCGGTCAAGAAAGCTTATTCGGAACCGACACAGTCACTGTTCCCTGCTTTGTTTGATGCGTACATCCGAATGTTCCAGTCTTGGAACAATCATTTCCACGAACTAGAGACAACTCAGCGTCCACTCGTCACTCGTTCGGCGGAGCAAACTTTTCCTTCATCTCCACTATTACCAGGAAGAAGCTCCATCGAATACTCGTCTACGGGACCAAGCGAACTTACATCGAGCGTTGCAAGATTGGCTGAAAGTAACTTGTTCACTCCCGATTCCACTCTTTTCTCAGCCGAAGAGCACCAAGGCAAACAAGTTCAACCATCTTATCCAAGTTTCGCCCAAATTTCAACCGTCAGCAAGTATCCTCTTCCAATCTGTACTCAATCATCCGAGGAACTCGCTACTGTGGGGCCAGCGGTCCAACGACGTCCGACAAGCTTTTCTACCAGGCGCGATAAATGTGAATACTGTGGTAAGGTATTTCGGAATTGCAGTAATCTGACGGTGCACCGACGAAGTCATACAGGAGAGAAACCGTATCGTTGCCGCCTTTGTCCATACGCGTGTGCTCAATCGTCGAAACTCACGCGACACATGCGCACTCACGGGGGGCCGGGAATGACCGGGTCGGAACTGTATTGTCAATATTGTAATACTCCATTTCTTTTGCACAACACATTGGAGCGACATATGAGGAAGTGTGCCAAGGCGGCAAAATGTAAAGAGGATAAGATGACAAAGAGTGGAACCGACGAGAACAGAGTCGGATTGCAAAGGAACCGAGGTTGTGCCTGGACTTCCGGGAGTGATTCTCCTATTGCAAAGGTCACATCAAACTTACTGGTAAACAGATCGCACAGAAACACGCAACAGATCACTTGAGAAACAAGGACCGAACCCTCAAACCCCTCAACTAATTTGTGATACGTTCTACTATTGACAGGCAGAGTTATTCTCATTTCATACAACTGGCGCCATCTTTCATATTTTCCGTCATAAAACGTTTTCTGTTTCCATTTTAAAACATTTTTGATTGATACGAACAGTAAATCCACGCTTACTTCTTTTTGAAGTTTTGCTTCCACTAATTAGATATACAAACCAGCTGAAATTTCCCCTTTGTTTTTTTTTGAACGATGAGAGCAGAGTTTTTTGGGTGTGGCGGCCTCTATTTGGTGGCTGAGGAAGCCTACCAGTCAGTTGTGAGAAACCCGGTGGTAAACGGCTGCCAGCTCGTACAGAATAGACCATCAGACGGTTAGTTCACGATAGTGGGCTAAAACCAGGGTGGACAACAATGAACAGCTGACTAGGTGCTAACAAAGAACCGTTCAGCACTGCCATCCGAAAGAATTACGACGGTTGGCATACTGCCAGGTTGACCAAACCGAGATGCTAAGGATGGGTTCGTACCACAGACCTTCCGAACTACTGAGCTGTCGCGTCAACAACTTCGAATGGAGTCACCACAGAATCTTTGACCGTAAATTTTAGATAAGTTAGTCATGGTAGACTAACACGTCACAATGCGTATGGTGTACTCCAAAGTTGGCCGTACAGTTAGAAAAGACCTCGAAGATGTCAAGGCGCTAGTGTCACTCGGTAACGCTTATGGTAGGGGAAGTCGAAAAAGGTCAAAGGCTTGCTACGGTTAATACTGCCTGTTCTCGTCATACCGTATGTACATTTTCGACTTCCGCCACGCACAAGTTCACGCAGTTAATTGGTTAGAGCCCACGAGGTCAATCTGAGGGCATTACCTCACCTGGCTTTTTCAGGCCGCAACAGCTGGATGTATTTTAAAGTCGCCAATGCAGAAACCCTATTGTCCCTTCTCTTCAATGCATCAGCGGTAAACACCACTAATGGTGTTTCCGATAAAACAGTCCTGAATTGTCTGATTCATAACCGACAACACAACATCAGTGCTCAGCACTGATGCTTCACTGTTGTACAACCATAATTTATTTGAAAGCCTTGCTGTGAAGATGGGACAGCGACTTGATGCTAGCCTACCACAAACATTCCGATGAGTCTGCACCTTCAGGCGAGTATAGAGACACCGAATAGAAAGTGACAACAAGAATGCCGTTGATACTGATTAGCAGCCATATCCTGCAGCGTCTCCAGCCACGCACAAGGGGGAGTTACGAGGACTGTATCCTGATAGGCGAGCCGCATAGACAGTATCCAGACTTTTCGTAATCGTCTTCATACCCCTCTGTCAGCTAAGAGCTTAGTACTCTTTGATTACGCGGTGAGTTGGGTATGGAAAACAGCACTCCTCTCCGCACACGACGAGTTAGCATGCATCAAACGCAAACACCACAGCTTTTGGTGTTTGACACAAATCTTTGATTGAAGTACTTGTTGAATAAACGAACACTTGTTTTCTAATTGTGTCGTTGCGGCATCAGCTGAGACAAGCTATGGTTCTGAGCAAGCGTCCTAAGGAGAACAGGTCGGCCAACCAAGTCAATTGCGTCTAGGGAATCCAGCAACAACAAGACTGCGGGCACTATCCTAGCACTTGATAATGTGATCAACACAGCTGCGTGACGCCAAAAGTCTCTTTACGACTGGAGTCTGGCTGGTTGTGAAGTAAAAACAACACGATCGACTAGTACTCCGTTGTGTACGGTTATTAGCGAGGTTGAGGGAGCACAATACAAGGCAAAGCGACAGATCAACAGTGCACGGTGGGTAGCATCAAACCACTGACATCATTGCAGTAAGCGAGAGGCTTGATACCACAATGAGTGGGGACACAGACACAAACCAATACGCAAAGACGAGCAATTGCAGTAAGCGAGAGGCTTGATACCACATTGAGTGGGGACACAGACACAAAGACAAGCGGCAAGTTACTGCCTCCTGCAACTGAAATTCCGTATAGCACGTCCGACTCAGTGAATCTTGGTCATTGATGTGCTGGCGTGGCATTACTGATGTGCACTTTGTTTGACGTGCAACAATAACACACCAGAACGACTCAGGTGACACCTTAGGCTTCGTTGTTACGGCTCCCTTACACTCCAATGAGCACCAACTGCCATCTCGTCTCTCCCCTGATATTCTAAAACGCTTCAGGGCTATTTTACCCTTTGGAATATCACTCACCAAAATTCCTTTGCAACTACCATGTTTATATCACTTTCGTGCCTCAGATAAAAAAAAGACTCCTACCATACACTTCAGCCATATGTGCATGTCAACGCAAACAGGTGAGCCGTCCGGCGATTTTCAAGAACACACGTTCGGTAGCTTGGCAAATGACAACTGACAGTATGTTTTCTTCCCACACGTATTTTAGATCCAGTATCCGAAAATTCGGACCCCCAGTGGCAGCAGTGGAACGACTTTCACCCACCATGGCAAGGAAAAGTATCGGTAGCTTGGCAAATGACAACTGACAGTGTGTTTTCTTCCCACACGTATTTTATATCCAGTATCCGAAAATTCGGACCCCGAGTGGCCGCAGTGGAACGACTCTCACCCACCATGGCAGGGAAAAGTGCTCATCAGAAAAGAATAAAACTGATATAATGAAGGAAAACGACCACCAATGGTCAAAATCTAGCGCGAAACAGAACAGCTGATTAGGAAATAATAGCAATAGCAATAATAATGTTCATAATAACAATATAAGTGAGAATAATACTGGGGCAGAGAGGTAATACAGACAGGAAAGGAAAGTTGGTTTGTTGTACGAATGAAGGAAGGAAGTGGATGGAGCCGTTGAATGAGTGAAAGCATGAGCAACGACGAGGCGAACAGCGCGAGATTAGGAAACACCTTCGGGCACAGGTAACATTGTTTGAACTGAAATGGTCAGAAAACACGATTCAACGAAATATGTGGACGATAGATCAGTTGGCGGTAGTGAAACATTTTGCAGCAATATCAAACTACTGATAGATAGTTAGTAGGCAAACATTCACAACATGCTGGCCGCGATCACTTCTGGGAAATTGATGAGTCTGGAACACTCCAGTTAAGAAAAGTAAACAATAATTAAACGATTGGTTCAATCATGCGCAATGGATCAGAAAACTCGGGGTAACAGAATCCAGGCCTCTGAATACTTCTACTTGAACAGGAGAGAAAAAGCAAATGGGGCCGAGTAAACCGGTCGATAATCATGACAAGAGAATAAGAACTGAACTGTGCTCACAACGGACTATGATGTTTAGGCACCAATAAGGAAAATACGAGAACCGAGACCAAATCATGTGACATTAAGCATGAATCAATAATGCTGCTTTATGAGAGTTGAGCGCTTATTGTCTGCCTATGTGGTCTTGAACGCCCAACCGAATGGATGCATTTAACAAATAATCAAAGGTACACACCGGAACGAGGAGCCGTGTCCCTTTTGAGCCCATACGCTCAACAGTTCTATTTATCCAGCGCAATGACAGATTCAATGGAGTACTTATTCTAAAAAAAACCCACAATTCAGCAGCCACCATAAAACATTCACCTAGTTTGATATTGGTACAGCTGGACAACTTGATCTTGTCGTGGTTTTCGACATAGGAGTTTCAAGTGGTCTATTGAGTCGTACTCGTCACAGTTGAGATATGAGGCTGCATTCCGTACCGACTGCGATGGGAAGGTTAGGTAAACCGTCAACACTCCATCGATCGTGATCGATATAAAATTATTCAGTAATTTGGACGAAGACTATTGATCGCCAGCCAAGTGAGATAGAAATTCGGATCACCGGTAGTGCGAGGAGATTACGGAATTCTCATGGAGATTTTGTTCTATAAGTGTAGATAATTCATGCTGAAATGTACCGTATTGCTGTTTCATCCTTACTGGGATTTATCAGCAGTGCGCATCTTGTGAAACCCCAGAGAGTCTCGAACCAGCGACCTTCCAGGTAGAAACAAGTGAGCAACCTCGATCCGATTGCCAAAATGGGTTATGTTCCCCTATTCGCATGCATAACTACCGACAATTATCGATCTGCATTGATCAGGAGAGGTCGCTGAAACACAAAGGTCCGTCAACTCTTGTTATGAAATTCCTAATGACTCACACATGCACATTGCTGTACGCTTGATGTTCCAACACAAAACCAGGTGACATCGACCATCGGGTCGTCAGTCTGCTTCACTTCAGGAATCTGGTAATGAACTGTCTTTTGGCGTCATTCGACTCTGATCACTGTTCCCGTATGTGCACTGACACGGGTCGTGCACACTGAATTGTTTGAGTCAATCGTCCTTCTGTCGGCTCATACGGATCAACGACAGTTCAGACTTTAATCGCAGTTGAAACAGGGGTCTCTACCATTCAGAAGCCGTGGACTACTTTACTTCCGCTAAAGGAGGCGACTAGTAGAGGACAGCCCTGAGGGTTGATCCGTCTCTGGTGCATGAGGGACAGAGGTCGAGGATTGGTCAGTTAAACGTGGTTGGAAAATGCTAAGGTTAAAAAATCCGAGGCTGTGCACAGTCAGTCCAAAGCAGGATCTTTTGAGGCTAGGTAGTCATACTCTGTGAAACACACTGGAGGGTGTAACTCCCCGTACTAGTTCCTCTATTTTGCACCTAAATCGGGAGTGATCGCAGTTTCTCAAATGGGGACTAATCGTGGGCTCGTGGGAAGTCCGTAAACTAATGGACCAGGCCTACAACCAGATCGATCGCCTTATCGGTGCTGATTTAAATGAAACTCGAAAGATACAGAGTCAACGTCCCGGCCCTGAGTGAAACACGGTTGGCTGATGAAAGTGATGTTCGAGAAGTTGGTTCTGAAGAGAAACAGAAGAGAAACGAGACCATGGTGTCCGGTTCGATCTTTCCATAGAAAAATACCTGAACCAGAACCCGGTAAAATCTAGCCGTAACTTGTCGAAACTATGTGACGGTGATCAACTCCACAAAGAGAGGTTTCTACACCGAACCTGATACACTCCTCCGATCAGTTTCGAAGACCGACAGTAAGAGGATACCTCTTACTGGGAAACTTCAACTAAGTGTTGGTCGAGATTGTTCCAGGTGGTTGAGCATTCTCGGACACAAGCAAACAGTGACTGTTTTTTGGATTGTGCGGTATCCATTCAGTTGTAATCAATAACACCAGATTTTGTCTCAAAGAGCGAGATGTCACTAGAGGTACGCCTATGTAGCGGTCACTCTCTCCCGCACGACTACCTCATCGTTCGTTAGCGATACGTGAGAAGTGTGCATCACGAGTGATGTGAACACTCGACCATGGAACAGATCACTAGTCCGTCCAGGAGAAGGTTCGCGTCCAGCTTCGTGAGCCACACTCTGCCAACCTCACCAACGAACCCATAAAGTTGGATGTATAACCTATGAAAGTTCGAAAACCAGATTGATGTATCAGCGTCAACTAAGGTCGCTCCATAAAGCCTGTCAACAGGTTGTGATTGTGGTTGTACAGGTTAAAGTGAATAGGGATCAGCTCTAGCTAGACTTGGATGAGTCTTATGGGTACTATGGTCTACCAGTCTACCTTTCTAAGCATTTCATTTGTCTCCACTTGACTTGGGAATTACGGACCACAGCTTGGGCACATAGATGGCCCCAGAGCTGTTTTGTCCTGCTCGCCTTTCGGTCTTATTCCCCTGTCCGGAGGCCAGCCGTCCCTAATAACCGAACATCACATCATTTGGACGGATGTGTCATGTGCAGGACACGGACCGAACGAAGGCATGTCCTGATTGGTAAAAATGCCAGCCGATCCGGATTGAGCACCTAAAGCTCGACGCTTCTCGCCCCCCTCACGGAGATTCTAGCATGACCTTGTGGAACACCCTGTGATTACCCTATAAATACAGTTGTAATAATTCCCCTTTTTCTCCATAAAGGTCTGTCTAGAGCTACCGTGCCTTCTGATATACCATAGTGAGCGGAGCAGGAGGCCAAGGGACTGATACAGAGTTGCACTACCGTCCATCAAGACACACCCCCTTAGTTTACGTCCAGTAAAGAGGGTTGCGTTGGTTACAAGGCAAACCGCATGCATTTCTGTCTACTGTGTGCGCAGGTCCATTTGTGTGGTGGAAACCGATGACAGCCTACCGTGTGAAAACGCACACCCTCCCTGACATGAATTTTATACTCAAATCCGCCAGACGCTGGGCACAATTGGAATATCAGTATAACGGGGATGTCTCACTCAAAACCCTAACTTTCGCAGACTGGCTTATGCAAATCGACGTGTGTGAGGACTACGCATTTTATCAGTTCAGCCTTCGATGCCAGTAGGATCGATCAGCCCCCGGGGTGCTCACTTGTAAGCATCAATTGCGCAGACGATACAGCTTCCCTTGGATCTAATCCCAAAGGAACGCAAGCAATAGTACACAATCTAAATAATTGGCTGGACAAAGTGGTTTGTGCTATAGAACTACAGTGTTCAAAAAGTTACCATGGGAGGACATGATTAATAACGTAGTAGATAAATGCAGTTATCTAGGTGACTACGTAAGGTTAACTGTAACTAACTTGGGTACACACTGGTAGGTATGGTTTAGACGATCAACCGCTGGCATCGATACCCGAGGAATTGGGTTTAATGCATAACCACCTCTCCCGACTCTTCACTAGTAACTAAATACCACCACAGCCATCACAACGCAGCCCAGAATCCAAGCTGACCAACCGAATTACGTGAAGGTCACCTCCGGAACAACCAATCGCTTTACAGATATTAGATATGATTTAGAAACCATATAAGGACAGGGAGAAGAGGAGGAATTCATCCAACCAACCCCGGATTAACGATGTCACCACGACTAGTGATGAGACGTTTGCGATCCAACTGTCAAGCTCGGCTAAAAACCACGCACATAGCTGGTGTACCGTTGGAACTAAAACAGTAGTTCAAGGTTATCAGCTTATGATGAAAATACCAAGATATCCACCCTCTATTTTTACCTCAATGATAAAGTATAACCGTACACGGTTTGTAGCTGATCTCCAAATGTCGCTAGTTTCACAGAAAGCAAAATAACAATGATAAAAATGTAAGTAGGAATCGTTTACAGCCAAAATTAGCGTAGAAGGCACGAAGAAGCAGAGTGTTTTCGTAAGCTGCAGTTGAATGATTCGGTGAGAACTATGATGTAGGCGTTCATAGCAAAACTCGACAGTTATGTGACGATTCCTCAAATTGCGATTTAGTGGGCGACCGCGTAGTACGTTGAAGAAGAAACACTCACCTGATGAGATTACGTGGGGGCCATTAGTACTTGGCCGACATCACAGGTTGCTCGAGTGACGGAAGGGGCATCAGTTCAGGGGGACTGGAGTTCGCTGTCAACACAGCGTTGAGTAATTGAACCAGTGTATCTGCATCTGTGTCGCCTTGGAAGCGTAACCGTACCGGTTTCGAATCGATGAGAGTAAGGCAAAACGGACACCGTGGACGTAACTCAAAATTGTGCATGTTTGGTAGACTGACCGAACACCAGTACCTGTAGTTGGGCGGAAAAATGGATTGCAAGACTAGAATTCGTTGTTACACGAAGGTATATAGAATTCAGTCGAGTGATTTATTTACCGATGACAAACGACCTAGAGTTTACAGCCCGGTTCAGTTCGACAACCGTAAATGACGGATGCATGTACGGTGGCGGTCAGTGTAAGATAGGGCGGGTACAGGAAAATACTAAATGCAAAACAAAAAAGAACAGAGGGATGAGGTGTAAGGACAAGAGAACGGATAAAACACCGCCACTAGTTCCGTGATGTTGCCACGTCGGTGAGTACATGAATTCATTGATGCGGTGGGTTTTGACGCCTCAATCTCGCAGACCACACGCACTAGGGCAGGTATGACGCTTTGTCGTACTTTTTCTTGTTGCACCTTCAAGTCGTCCAATGCCCACCTTGTTGTACTTTGGAGTCGTAACTTGCCTCAGCAAACGGGACACAATGGGACTATCGATCATCTAGCGCTCGGAGCACATAACGGGGCTAACGCAGCTGAATCAACTCATCAATAAGACAGGCAGCTGATTTGTCGCCAGAATCGATTCATCACACTTCACTGTTGCCAATCCGATGTTCCCATGACATATGTGCATCGCTTCGAAGGGACTGGTAGTAAAAAGAAAGCAACCGTCTGTTGTCCTCAACAAATCGGTCTGGCTTGAAAACCATAAGGCACTGCACCGTCGTAGACTTTGCTTTTCACCGAGGTTTCAACGACTCTAGAATTCGCCTCGTCGGTAAGACCATCATCAGACGTGATATAACTACTCAGATAGGTAAATATGTCCATTATCTCCTGTGGTTCCAATGCTATGTATGACCAGCCTTAGTGGCCCACTCGCCTAGCCTTGTAATAACACCTTGCACTTCGAATGTGCAAAGCGGGTGCGCAATCGCACGGTAACATTATTTAGACAATTTATTGTGTTGTATATCTGAACTAAGTAGTGTAATAGCGTTTGTATACGCTAGGAAGATGATGATCCACTCCGAAGGTAGAAGACACTGCAAGCGCTTCTTCGATAGTTAATTCGGCGACAAAGTTGATGAAAGGTAACCAGGGGCAGCCGATAAACTCAGGAGAGTATTCTTCGTAGACCTTTACGTATAGGAAGACACAAAATGGCGCAGTTAACTGAATCTAACGCTGCTTGCAGTTATAAAGAGACAATAACTGCTGGTGTTCTGTACGTGTGGCGGTGTTCGAGAAGTGTTTACAGGGTAAAGGCGTGGTCCCGGACGGAATCTTGCTTGGTTCCACGATTTTACCTCTCACGAGTGCTGGTAAACCGGCGTACGATGATACGTCTGAGCAACTTGGAAGCGACAGACCCGATAAATCACACACTCAGAAGACGGAAATTACCTTGGATATTTGACAGTGCTAGAGAAATTCCATAAGCTTCAAAGTGTTTGGTACGAGTTTCGTCTCAATGTGAGCTAGTTCTCATCCTAATTCCTTGAACAAGACAGTAAGAAGTCAGGAGTGAATGCTTTTGTTTCTATGCAAAAGCTTTGTCGTTTTGACTTCATCTGTTGTCAGAACAGAACAGCTCACGTTTCACCGTGAATAACATTACACTGCATTACTAATAAACAAATAGAAGACACATTTGCGTCTGCTTCTTGTTAGAAAGGTCAGATTCCTGAAGATTATCCCAGAACATCCAAGACCTACTTAGACCCTCAAACTCCATTGATGTAAACGCTTTACGCCGACGTGCCTCTTCGTGAGGGAACCGCTTTTCCATGTTTTTATGGAAGAAATTACAAAAAATAGTTTAGTGATAGTATGAAGAGATTTTATCCCACAAGCACAGACATCCGACACTGAAAAGCCGCAAAACCGTATACAATTGTTTTGGCCTCGTTGAAGATGATCAGTAGTGCGCTCATCAAGAATCTCCAGAGTGAACCGAACCCACAACTTCAGGGCTAGTTAGTAGCAGCTGATCAGCATTGTGATTAACTAGCACACAGGTGCGCATCATTCATCCCAAAATCAAGTGATGGCCAGCTGACAGACTCTTGAATACCTCAGAGAATTGACTCTACCGTGTACCGAAAAATACGATTGAGTTCGAAGGACAAGCCTGTGATCAGATTGACGAGAACCCGCTGGGGAAAATAGTTTTCTCGGACTTGGCTGTTGATTTGGTGATAGTTGACCTGTTACCCAGGCTTGGCAGTTACCTCACGAATTCCTTAGTGGCTCCGTGTGCATCTCGTCCAGGTATACTAGCGCTTATACAGTTTTTAAGTGTTTGATATTTACAACGCTTCGTGTGCACGTGATTTGATTGGTGCGTTTGGAGTTGTGCTGCGTTGCGGTCCGACATTATTGCGTTTGATCAGCCCGAACAGCCGAAATTTTATTTGACAACCGTTCTTTTGACGATATTATCAACGACTATGAAAAATTTGAACTCTTCCATAGATACACTCACTTGCATACCGATTTAGTTTTCACGGGAGACGCATCAGGATCCCAGTTAAATCTCTCGCCTATGGCGTCATTCTACTGAATGTGCTCCAAAAAGGGCCAAACCGGTCGTGGTATGTCCAAGAGTTCATCTATGTAACTTCTAATCTTGTAAATATTACCTCCCTCTAGAGGTATACCTTTGTATAGCTTAGGAGTGTGAAATCAACTGTAACCTGGCTTCTTTACATATACTTGTATGTAGGTGTGCAAAAGGAATTTTACAAGGTCCAATTTAACTAAACTACTTCAAGTAACCAATACTTGGAATTCGCTAGCATTGCACCGATGGCAAATAAACACGGCCTGGTAGAAATCTTGTTCTATAAAGCCAAGGTTTTCCAAGGAAGACTTTGTCAGAAAATGATTACTCCGATAGATTCCTTGCGACTCTCATTGGTTAGAAACACACTCACCCCGCAGTTCAAGGTGGAAAGAACAAGAGTAGATTTCTGCTTCTATGGTTTAAAGGTGACCATGAAGCCAATGGACTCAAGTAGTAAGTAATATCGTCTAGAAATCACGCTGCAAGAGCGAGCAAAGAAGTTTGTCCGCTCTTTCTGCCTCCCAAATAGTCTATCCGTGCACGTACAATTACAGTGAGATAAACTGGTAGAAAGCCTGAAAACAACCCGAAATGGTCCATTCGGCTAGTGTTGCAACTAAACTGAACGGCCCAAGGGTCACACGGAAACATACAACCGTCGGTCGATAGACATATGTTAGATATCAGTCTGGCTGAGAAATTTGAATCCTAATCTGTTAGCATTAATAAAAAAATTTGCAGGCTGTCAACGTCATCAGCTGCAACACGTGACCGTTAAAAGCATCACTGCCATTGACATACAGGATTGGTTAGTTGACGGATTATTCCCTTTCGTCAATGACTATTCCTTCGTCATACAACATAGCGCTGCATCCCTGATCTGCCTTCTATGCTTAACGTTGATTTCAGTGGTAAGAATGATAACAAATGGCTACTGGGATCGAAGCAGCCGGGCAATTTGCTGTAACACTTCTGAAAATTAAGAGGCAGGGTCCCACGTAATCACAAGACACTTAACAGTTCGGCAACCTTTTTTGTTCGTGTAGTGACTTCTTCCGACAAACGTTCGTCAGAGAGCCCAAGATGGCTCGGTGGTTGACCATCACTGCTACTATTGACTGATCTATGGTTCCAACCCAGCCCTGGATTTTCAATTGTTCCTTGGGCACCCAGGCAAAACCTGTCATCGTGCTTCCTTTGAGTTGCTTGGTAGCTAAGTGCTCGCTTTTATTTACTTACGTCAAACCATCACCATCATCATTACGGGCATTCCACCACAGGTAAACGTACACAAACCACGAGGAAGGAAGTTTTAACAGAAACTGGGAAAAAAGAGGAAATTACAGAGTAAGGTGGATCTAAATAACACCAGACTACTCGTTGAGACAGAATACGTCTGGGTCTGCCTCTCTAAGTACTCATCAGATAGATGAAATTCTAGATTTTCCATCGACCTTACGTTTTTCTTGGACACCAGATTGTACGCAATTGGGAACTGTGTCCATTTGCAAATCAAGTCGGTGTTGGTGGAGGAGTTAACCGAATCCCAGTAGAACAATATGATAAATGAGAGATTCAGTTGAGACTCAACTGTTAACGAATGAACAACGACTCAATTTGTGACTGAAGGTGACTACCCCTTTGAACAGCACTGAAAAGAACACATCTGAGCATCAGGTAAATTGGGAGGCCATTAGCTGGAATGACCAAGCGCCATTGGTGCGACCCACCCGAAACGAGCTCAGTGCACGACAGACGAACTCTGGCTAGACGGTGAGGCTAGAAAATGAAAGCGTGCGTGAAACTGGGCCAACAATGCTTTGGAATGGTAAATAACGCCTTCCCAATTAAGTGGTGGTTGCGAATTACTACTCATTTATGCACTACTTTGTTGAACGTATGCTGCAGCTACCGGCCAACTCTAGCAATGCTACAACGACGCTGATGATCAAACAGCTCAAGGACGTTACGGTATTCGGGTAGGAAGAATTAAGTTTAGCAACCATGAAGCGGAGTAACTCTTACAGTTGTCCTAGAGGCGTGTATGGCCTTTACGTTTCCGCCGAACAGATTCGAGGAGCAAGTCCACAACGTTCTTTCGTGTCTTGATAATGCGTCCAATAGCCCTTCGTTCGTTACGACGGCACACGTCATTCGGTTGGTAGCCGGGCATGGAAGTCTACTAACCACAGTCCTACACAACAATAACAGAAGGTCGCCAAGCAATACACAAGAAACCTATTTCTGAGTATGTGCAACACATCCAAGCACGAACGGGGATTCAGAGATGAGTTGAAGTGATAAAAGCATCGATAAACAGGTTATCCAGCCCAATACAACAGATTTCTCAATTATTTGCTTACTTTTGATAGAACACATGGGATGGAAAAAAACTCCGCGCCAGGGGCTTGCCCACAATCGCCGAATGCATTCTGACATAAAACCCAAACTTAGAGGAAGCTGGTTCAAGCCCAGACCGGAATAAGGAAAACAAAACAAAACCTGCACTTACACGACAGTTTTCTCCGAAGCCATATGTCCACAAGGATTGAAACAATGTGTGGCTAAGGCACGATCGATATAGAACGCAGGTTCCAGGCCCATTCGGAGAGGGACGAACGGCGACGGTTGAAGGCACAAAGGACACGTGCGATCAACAGTATCTCTAGAGCAAGGAAATGGAACAATTTCGTAGAATAACTTCAGGCATAAGCACGATTGGTTGCATTAAAAGGACCGCGCAGCTGTAACACTCTTCAGGTGCCAAGCTGCCATGCTATCAGAAGGAGGCACGACGGTTGAGATATTGCCCGTTGCTGAATTCTAAATGGGGTCAGTCGAGATGCCGGGCTTGGGTTCGAACCACGGACCTTCCGGTCAGTAAGTTCGCGCCCTAACCACTGAGCTATATCTTGGGCTCATACACTTAGTGTCGTTCTGTTGTTCCTGAAATGATTTTTTCTGGTGACGAGCTGTGTAAACATTAGTTTAAACAGTTCGTTTTGTTAAAATGGAGGATAGAGAGCGGCCTATTGGACGAAAATGTATCCTTTCATCAGAACGTCTCTTGAGCGAAGGAGCAATTTTGGTGGTTGGAGAACGCAGTCGTACAGTGATCAATCGACCGGCCGAAAGGAAGGGTGTGAAGATGAAGTACAGCAAAAAAACGCGTGTTACCTAGGCGATGACAAGAGAAAAGCACAAATACATGGAATAATTTATGGGCTATGTGCTAATCCTGGTTCTTGCCATGAGATTGATTGCGTTCCGCGTAGGAGGCTGTTGTATGTGTGCCCTCGTGTGGGGGGAAATACATGCATACATTTGCACACGCAGGAGCATAGTTTACACAGATACGGGAATAAAACCTCAGTGCACGACTAGGAGTTATGGGACTTGGATCTCAGCCTTGAACCGCGCACAGTACTGGATCGATATATATGTGGGTGCATTGCAGAATCGTCCTTTCATCACTCACCATCTTGCTAGTTCGTCCGCAAACAGATGTCTTCCTTTGGTCGAACGTGCATCAGAAACAAAACTTTTGAAAGGATACACTCTAACAGGTTGTCGTGTGTGATTCGTTTCGGATTGTTCGTAACATCACAAGCGAGAGACCCAGCTGGGCTCCAGGTAAGTCTCTCGCAGATCCAAGTTTGGTTGCAAATGAGCGTATTTCTCGCTAATACTCGTAATTATATTTTTGGGCGTTTCCCAGTCATTTGTTTTGCAACATCGTTCCATTCTATCGTCAGATGAACAGGTTAAAAACATGTGAAATACATGAACACACTTCGACGGCTGGATTGGTTGTGGAACTTAGTGGTTGAGATAGGCAAGCCTTAAATGTGCAGCTGGGTTGGTTTGATTCTTTTGCGGGTGCTGAATAGCTTTTGGAAGGCAGTCCACCATGCGACCTCCGATGTCATCGACAGCAGAACGCATAGTGGAAACAAGCCACCTGTGTGACCTAAGCAACTCATTCTTGACCTTATCCGAACTCGAGACTCTTGCCATTTGGTCAAGTGGCTCTGGTACACATGACCTTGTGCACACGGAAGACCTGGACTACCTCGGAACTAACCTTAGTCCCACTCAACCTGTCCGTTGGGAATGCATCATCTTCCTTCACTGTTGCTGTAAAGCCTGTTTAAGCAATTGTCGCATAGTCTGCGCCGACTGGTGGGAGCAAATGAAATGTCAACATCTCGTGGCTTTTTGCTGTTCCAACGAAATGGACTAGGAGATCAGGAGGAATCAAGGGGTGAGTTCGGCTCAGAGGGGAGTAGCATTTATAAGTATGCATTTAAATGAGTGAAGGGCAAAAATAAATAACGTCGCCCGGTAATGGATACACAAAAGACGTTTCCAATCAGGATGGGGACCGAATGTGAATAATAGGGATGGTGAAACAAAAAGATGCAAATACTCACTTATTAGCTTCTCCCACCCACGTGTGCCAGCCATGCACGTGACCACAATTGAGATAAACGTACGGTTCTGATGGGGTCTCTGTTTGGGTGGGAACGTCGTCAGCGAATAGGGAGTTGTTCGATTTGGATGGGAAGACGGAAAGCGAGAGTCGGAGAGTCCGATACATGATAGGGCATTGGAAACGGGCTAGGTTGAGGCCGTCAATCTGAGGATGAAGAAATCATTGGACAAGTGTTTTGGTTAAAAAATAAACACAAGAAGTTTAATGCGAAGCGAACAGTACATCTCGAAAATATGACTTATTAACTGTCCGTTAACGCGATCAAAGATATTTAAAACTCCACCTTCTACAAATAACTAAGCTCGGGGTATGAATCAAAAAGTACGAAAGAAAACAAACTCGACCGTTGCCATTCACGCTTTCAGGAACTGACGTGAACAAGGTCCCCGTGAACAGCACGACGAGATTTCATGCACTCTGTGTCGGACTTCTGCAAAGAGGACAGATAATTCCAAAATGCTAGCACTAGATGTTAAACACAAGTAGGATAATTTTTTGCTCTCGCCCAACCGAGCAAACCTACTTTCATGCCAGATAACGCTCAGTCCCGGACACACTGAACACCAAAACGTTGTCAGTGCGTAATCGATAGTCTACACGGTAAAAGTGAGACGTCGTAAAACACTAAAGAAAACGAGACTGGGTATTTCTGAAAATAGGACAAGCCCGCTTGGAAAAACCAACCCAACGTAATGAGGCAGTCAGCTGCGATCTACTGTTATTTGGAGTTCGCATAAAAACGGATTTTGCAGAGGTCAAGCTACTGTTGCGGTTAAGCAACAGTAGCCAACCAAACAGGTGAAGTTTTATCCTCGCGGACAATGGTTAAACAGCAGGAAAGGTTCGAGGACAATGTACTGAAACGGAGATCTGCGGCGCTCAATCACGTGAGAGGTAATCTAGGTACTACGTTATCCCTTTTAAATGTACTCTGGAAACGCTGATATGAAACGACGTTCTTGTGATAACGAAAGGTGTTAGGGTAAGCAAACTGGTTTCTGGTTGACCGAACAGTGAATCACATGATTCCGAAAAAGTCAAATCTAACAGGCCTAAAAAATTTGCAGTCCTGAAAAGGTGAAGAAGAGAAAGCATTCAGAAAATCCGGCGCAATTGAAATCGGGTCAAGGTTTCTTGGTCACGTGGGCGGAAGCAACGACAGTTAAAATAAACGATGTCGAGCACTGAGATGGTGTTAATGAGAGACTCAAACAAAGCTCTTGTTTGTCAGGTTTTTCAATCGAATTTAAAGTTCCAAAACACAGGAGACGTTCCCGGCACAGCTGCTTCAAATACTTGTGATTTACAAGTCAGAAGGGGACTTACACAGGACGACTAAGTGTCATCATCATTGACAACAATACCAAGGTGAGATAACCGCCATGAAATCAGGTTATAAATAGCTCCTCTGAACGGATGAAAACGAGGATGTGTGCGGAGGCACTTCGTCACCAGTACGAGCAGGTGAACATACTTCACAAAAGGGCCCGGTTCTCAAACAGCACAGAAAGGGATAGCGAGATCGAGCCCACAGAAAACTAGCAGGAGCGACAAGATAATCTGTTCAAATAGACTTCGAAATCATGATGTGGTGAGTACTGTGCATGAAGGAAGAACGAAGGATGCACGCTCGAGAGAGAGAGAACAGCTTTCTCAACTGTGCTAGGCATAGAAACAAGGATGAGCGGTGAGACTAAACGAGGGAGAATTTCACCATGCGGAAAAACAGCTTATGGGTTGAAAACAGCCTATGGGGATGCTTAGAAACCAGTCGTCGGACGAAGCCTTGAAAGCACCACGCGGTCATCCAACGACCTTATTGGCATTTCTGAGCTGACGGCCCTCGCAAACTTGGTGTGCTTGGTCATTGATGCTGGCAACATACATGGAAGCAAGTCGGGGCGAAAAATTGTCACAAAACGGTGCTGCAACATTGCAAACTGACTCAGCCTGCAGAGGCCTCACCAAGGTGACCGGGTTGATAACGTTCCGGATTACCATCTGCATCGACTGTGTTCAGTTCCCACGAAAGTCTTCAAATCCATTGCCTTCCCCCATCCTGATAAGCCGTACATCTCTGCTTCGCAAACAGGAACAAATAATATTTTAAGGAGTCCACTAAAGCCGGATTCTGAACTGTTCATACAATCATTGTCGCCGCCGGCCTACTAAGGATGGAAACATGACCTTGAACAGTGAGATTCGGATTCCTCAGGTCATCTATGGAAGCAAGCAGTTGGAAAAAAAACTGGTAATATCTCAGACGTTCATTAAATCCTATTCGTCCTTCTCCGGCAAATTTTTCAGTCTTCAAAGAAGAGCGGTTTATGAATTTTCGTGTAATAAAGCAAAGCTGGACTGAAAAAGCATATGCAATGTTTCAGATTGACATTGAGTAGAA